CCAGCCTTGGGAATGTGACAGGACCGCCAAGGCTGTCATCTGGTCTTGTGGTAAGCATCCCTTCCAGAGTGTAGTTAACAATGATAATGCCGGTTTTGTAGCAGCAACAGTTAACGGCATCCGTTTCTACAGCTGTTATACACCACCTAGTCTATCCACTGCTGAATTCAATGAATTCTTGGACAAACTGACCGAGGACGCCAAGCAGCATTATCCGGTCGCGATTGCCGGTGACTTCAACTCCTGGGCAGTAGACTGGGGTAGCAAGCAGACAAATGCGCGAGGAAAAGCACTTCTAGAAGCTTTCTCTACACTAGATTGTAGTCCAGCTCAACAGTGGTGATGCGCCAACCTATACTAAAGGAGAAGCAGGCTCTATCGTAGATCTCACTTTCGTCAGCGGTAGTCTCACCAGTGGGAAATACGACTGGAAGGTGATGGATATCTACACAGCCAGCGACCACGAGGCAATTCTCTGGGAAATATCACATGACCGGAATATAAGAAGACCAACCAAGTCACTCAATACTATTGGATGGAAAGTGAAGTCTCTTGAGACAAGCATGTCTAAAATAGCCCTTAATAGTAAACCGATTACTGCTGGATCCCCAGAAGAAATGACCAAGGACCTGATGAAAAGAGTTGTGCAGGCCTGTGACGCCAGTATGGTCCGGAAACACAGCATAAGCCAACGCCCGGCAGTACACTGGTGGAACGACCACATCAGTGTTCTTCGAAAAGAGTGTCTAAAGAAAAGAAGAATATCCCAGCGTGGCTATCGACGACCTAACTCTGCGGAGCTGATCGCAGAATACAAAAAAGCCCGTCGATCATTGAATAAAGCCATCAAGGATAGTAAGAGACAATGCTGGAAAGAGCTCATCAACGAGGTGGATAAAGACGTTTGGGGAAGGCCTTATAAGGTGGTTATGACCCACCTAAAAAAACAACAAATGCCATCACCTACGTGTCCTCAACTTCTCCAGAAAATCGTCACCGCACTGTTCCCACAGCAACGCAACTTCGACTACCAGTTGGCGCCAGGTGAACTGAACGACACTCCACCTGTCACTGAAGAAGAACTGCTGGAGGCCAGTAACCGGGTAGGGAATAATAAAGCGCCGGGATTGGACGGAATCCCTAATATAGCATTGAAAACCATCATAAAGGCAGCTCCAACATTATTCCAAGACGTTTATAATGCATGCCTTAAGGAGGGGACTTTCCCGCATAAGTGGAAACAGCAACGATTGGTACTGTTACCTAAAGGGAAGAAACCACTGGTACCGACCACTTTGCATGCTAGAAACGAAAAAAAAAGAAAAAAAAACACACACACACATACAGACATAGTGACAGCATCGCGGGGGTAGTCGGGGAAGCTTCCTGTAACCTTCAAACGTCGAAATCTGATGAAAACTCGATTTTTGCAAAACGGGGTGAAAACAATAACTTCCCGATTTTTGAAAATCTGAGATTTTTAGCGCGGGAAGTTAAAAATGTTCTTGATTCAAATCAAGTATATAATTTTGAAGAAAAATTCTTGATTTAAGGAAATTTTACTTGATTCAAGAATTTTTTGCCTTGATTCAAGACAATTACGCTCTTCAAAATTATATTCTTGGTTCAAGAATTTTTCTCTTAAATCAAGTTAATTTTTTTTTCAGTGTTCAGTTATTTTAGCCAGTTTTTTTGCCTAATTATTACAAAAAAAATTACAAAATAAATTCAAATTATTTACGGCAATACAATAGGAAAATTACGGTAAATTAACAGCATTGAAACTGTAAATATACCGCATATTTACTGTATACTTATTTAACTCATCGCCGAACTTAAAAAATGTTACTATGCTTTACTTTTAATGATTCTTTGATTAGAATGAAAAACGTGCGAATTAATGGAATAAAAATAAAAATTTTATAATCTGCACATTTTTTATAATATGACTTTAAATTCAGCAATAAATAAAAAACACAAAATTTTTGCAGTTTTTTAATTATTTCATTATAAACGCGGCGAAATTGCAGTATAATTTCGAAATACGATTTTATTATTGTAAAATTATAATAACATTATATAGTTAATACATAGATTTTTTACGGTAAAAATTCTGGAGTTTTACGGTAATTTTATCGTATTATTCTAGTAGCTTTGCAGCAAAACTACAGTAGAAATGCTGCGAAATTATAGTAAAAAAAACTGGCCAATATAACCACAGAAATACCGTATTATATCAGAATTATAACGGTAAATTTATGATAAGCACATCAATACCGACAATTTACGGTATTTCATAAACCACGAGGGTATCATTATATTATATCAGAAGAAATAACTTACTATAAAGTGAATTTTTCTCTCCATTCTTCAATTGAATGATTGAATCAATGTAATCTCCTCTTTTAAAACCGCTTTTTTCTCGAGATTCAACTGCGCTCCAAAAAAGTTTTCTAACAAACGTCGAATCAAATAACATTGGAGATCCGATCGTTTGTACAAGTTCAGGCATAAAAAACACTGTGACCAACGCTACCATACGTTTGAACCCATGGAAGAATTCCATAACTAAAAAGTAATTTTCAATAATTCAGTTAACTGACATAGTTAATAATAATTAATTAAAAAATCAAACTTACGAGATTTGCTGTAATCAGAATTGGGATACTGAAAAGAGTCAGTTTTAGTACCAAGAGCGACATTGGCAATAAGGTCAGCAGTATACTTGTAATTAATCTCCTGAGCATCAATAACTTTAATTTTGTCATCAAGACATTCATTTTTCAGATATTTCATCATAGGCTGCGTAGTTTCCATCATCAGCGGGAGCATTTGCTTCAATTTTCCGCGAGTAAGCGTCGGAGTTATTTTGCTCCTCAAGTACTTCCAGGCAGGATTTTTCAACCCAAACAAATTCCTCATTCCAATGCTGTCTTTCTGTTGGGGCCCAGCGAAATGTCTGTCGGAAAAATTATCAAAGTCACGGATCAAAATCTGCTTGATTATCTCCGGGTCCCGCAGCAAAAGACATGGCTTGTGAAAAATGTAGAAACCGACATAAGGCGCGTCCTGAAGCGCCTTGCGGTAAATTTCTCCCAAGTGGAATCCTGGAGCGGTGCGGAACAAAATTCCATTTTTGAAATTACCAAAAATTATGTCTGTTCTTTGCAACTGTTGCACACCGCGTCTTTTCCAGTAGCTTATTCTGTGAAGACAGTAGAAATAAACAATAAGTATAAATGCTACTGGTAATACAAAGATGTATAAAAGACTCTGAGAGTCTGATCTGTCATAAAATACTTTCATTTATGCAACTATTTAATAATACTAACGTAAGTAAGTAAGTTGCAATCCTTTTTATACATCAAATTACAATGTATCGTTACGGAGATGATTGTCTAGGTGTCATTATCTGGAAAAAGTTGATTGGATGGTTAGTTTCTTTGCGGTTAGTTAATGATTTTTTTTTTTTTCTTAATCACGCTATTATGATACATTTAGATGTAACATTGAAGTTTAATTATATAAACTAAATCATTGAGTTTCAATTATCGTTTTATCAATTTTTTTGTATCTTAGAAATAACTTTAATTATTTTAATTGAGTATGATTCTTCACAAAAAGTAATTACACTTTATTTATTGACGCATTGAATTTAATATATAAGGAAAAATAAATTTATTGGCTGGGAAAACAAAATTATGTAATTTTTAGTAGATTCTATAGAAATGTAATTATTCCGTTTGTCCTCATAACGCAAATTTACAAAAATTTAACTGCTTCCTGACTCAGCTCGTCAAGTTGATTAACAAAATACTATGAATAATCCGGTAAATAAGAGAAAAAAGTACTGAAAGGTCTAGGCCTCCACGTAAAATTATCATCGAGGTGTCATCGGATGCGAAATTTTTTCTAGATATGTTTTACGCTTTGTCCCACATTGCGATATAAGTTATAAATAAATTAGTTAAAAAAAAAAGAGGGATCGGTTTTTTTGCAAATATCTCGAAGAGTTTTTCTGATATCGAAAATTCGAAAAAAGATCTAAAGACAACAGACAATTTCCTACAGAAAAGTCTTGCTTTCTTAAACTGTAACACCGATATTAATAACTTTAATTGAGCGGTGAAAATACAAAAAAAATCTGTGACTCTGCCCGCGCACGGTTTTTATTCGGACGCTTGGACAAAAAAATTATTTTAATTAACTAATTATGAATTTTTAGAAATGATAAAAAAATCAAACACTTGCTGGATAAGTTGAATAAACAACAATCTGCCGGCAAAGAATTTTTATTCAAATTTTCTTAATAATTATAATTTTCTTAATTAACAAACTTTTTAAAAATTGAAGTGAACGAAAAAATCTCAATAATACTTGGTGACTAGAATATATCTCAAAAGTTTCTATATGTATGTATTTATATAAATTAAATATGATATAACCGACCCTTGTCTCCACTATACTCACACAATTCTCATCGAATTTTTGCTTTTTTGACGTTTTCCAATATGATCTACGTTTGAAGATGGGCTAAATGGGTTGGTTTACAAATTACAACAGTTCAAAATTTTTAAGAACTGCAAAAAATTTTTACTTTAACTGTCTCTCCGTGCTATAGCTATTGAAATACAATAATTTATTAAATTTCAGTAAATTTTTTTTGAAAACTCATTAAATAAGCTTCAAATTACATGGCTAAATATTTTCCTAGATCATTAAATTAAAAAATGACAGCCATTTCAATATTTGAAAATTTGAGAAAATAGTGAGTTTTACTAGTTCTTAGCGCAATTACTATTGAATTCGATAACTTATTAAATTCCTGTAAACTGAGAATCTGAAAGCTTATTGAAAATACCCTCATGTAATTTATCAATTTAATATATTAGAAGAAAAATTAGAAATTTTATATTTTCCCGATTACTTGGTTGCCTTTTTCGAATCAATAGTTTTCCGAATAAAACACCCATTTACCTTCTAATTTAAGAATTATTTATTTAATATTTATTCCACTAAACATTTTTTAGCGTTTGTTGCAAATACATCAGTAAGGAAGTGTGATATATATTAAAAACTAGTAGATTCATATATAATCATTAATACATGTTACACTGGCTCTTTTTACACGTGGCACCTTTAACATTGCGGCATTGATAACAAATGATTATCATTTGATTGTCATCTGATTATCATTTGATTGATTATCATATGATTAACATTTGATTATTAACAAATATAAATAATGCTGTGAAGCGCTAAAAAAAAAATTGTGTGCACGGAGAGAAAAATATGGAAATCATTCCTATAATTTTAATGAAATATTTTCCTATACCATTTTAGAAGCGATTACTTAAATTATGGGAATTATACCCATAATTTTTGGGAAACGTTACTATAATTATGGGAATGGTTCCTATAATTATAGGAACGATACCTATAATTATAACTGTAATATCGGCATGATTCCCATAATATATTGAAGCTATTCCATTATTGTATAGGAACGTTTCCAATAAATTATGGGTATGGTTCCCATAATGAGTATAGGATTAATGCCTATAATGATAATTTTATTATAGGATCCATTCCCATAATTGTTGGAAAGATTCCTATAAATTTCTCTCCGTGTAAAATTATTTCGCGCAAAAATGAAATATTTAATACATATATTAAGACACATTATAGTGAAAGTGATTATTAAAATCCAATAAAAAGCTATTACAATAACGTTATATAAATAATATTATGTAATTAGTTAGTCTATCGGAAATATTATAGTCATGCGCACTCTTTTACGTGCACGTTTCAACAGAAACATTTTCCTCGTTTTATTCGTGGGCTTTGAAACGTTTCAAAGTACGTCTGGGCGCCTTGATTACAAAGATCCGGGTTTAAATTGATCCTAGTGTTTGCGGTGCTCGGTGAGCTAGTATATTTATTATTATTATCATTATTAAATTAATCAGTTGTAGCAGTTGATATTTTTTTAATCTTGAATGGTTTACATGCTTGTAAATTAAAATAAAATTAATTTAAAAAAAAAATTTCTACTAGAAAAAAAAAAATTTCTTAACTAAAATAAAATTTCCAATTGTTTTGACATTCCAAATTTTCAAATGTTTTCGCGGTTCAACGTATGTATTGTAAATAATTTGCTTTAAAAATAAAATGAAATTGTGGAAATAAACAATGAATTTCCATATCTATTTTGCTCTTACAATTGTATAGTGAGAAAATATCATTTTTATTAGAGACACTTTAAAATTGCTACAATATTTTTTAATATTATTTAACACAATAATAACTGAGTTGGAATAAATAATTCAAGATTAAGTACACACGTGAATAAAAATGATGAATAAGAAATTTTTTCACTCTAGTGAAAGATCAATTTTTATTTACAAAAAAAAATTTTATTAGCAAAAAAATACATAATAATTACTTAATATTTTTGAAGTGATTGCTTCATTATTAAGAAAATAAACTTTTTTCTATTATTATGTGCGTCATTCCCATAATATTATAGGAACCATTCCTATAATATTATAGGAACCATTCCCATAATATATTGAAGCTATTCCATTATTGTATAAGAACGTTTCCAATAAATTATGGGTATGGTTCCCATAATGAGTATAGGATTAATGCCTATAATAATAATTTTATTATAGGATCCATTCCCATAATTGTTGAAAAGATTCCTATAAATTTCTCTCCGTGTGTCAGCTCCGACGCACGACTATGGAGTTTACTCCTTACGAACGATTATATCGTATATATAGATTAATAAATAATGTTAAATAAAATTAACCATTATATTATTCGAAGCATACATGATACATTTATTTACGTTAATTATACAATTAATTTGTCAAAATAGCTAACTCTATTAATTTGTTAATATTTTCGAATCGTAAATTAATATCGACCGATATAAATAAAAAAATTGTGTCTAAACTCCACAAATTTGTTTAAGTAACAATTTTTCTTTTAAAAATCATTATTTGTATCAAAGATTGAAATTCCGCAAAAAAAAATTTCAATTATCTTATAAACAACGCATTTGTTTATAGAAATTTTTTAAACAATAATGAATAAAAATTATTTTTATGCAGCTTCTAACAACATAACAACGGATCATTAACAATATTTAGAAAAAATAAATTTTTTCGATGATTAATTTGAGTTTTTAATTTTGCAACAATGAAAATTATTAGTAAAAAACTAAAAAATGAAAATTTTTTGATTTTTCCAACGGGGATCTATTCTGGAGCCTTTCAAGAATTGCTCCAAGAGAGAAAAAAAAACCTCAAATTTATAGTTTAAAAATTATCACACTTGCAATGTACATGTTCAAGCAGATAAAAATTATTAATTAACTATTGCAAAACTAATTGAAAAATTTTTTTCAGGCGAATTATTGTTCATTTATCTATCCAGTAAGCCCCTGATTTTTTTCATTTCTTAAATTTTATATGTAATATGTTAAAATAATTTTCATTAATAAAGTGTCCAAAGGAGACGTGGCTTACACAAGCCAGAGCACCCGTTTTTGACCGTATTTTCATCCCTCTGGGAAAATTATAAATATTGGTCCTACAGTTTCGGGAGTTGGGACTTTTTTTTATGAAATTCTCCCTCTTTTTGAATCTTTTTAAAAATTTTCTAAATCTTTATTAGTTTTTCAAATATTTGCAAAAAACTAAACCTTTTTTTTTTTTTGCTCAAGTTGCGACAGAACTCCGTAATACACAGACATGCAACACACACATACAAACATACGTACACATTCGATTCTCAGACCAGAGGTAGTGAACTATACAGTGAGACTATGAAGCATAGCACAAAGAAGAGGGCCCGAGAATAAGATACGCTGTTTAATGTATTCCATCTCATTCTTTAGCACGTTCAATCCTACAGATATATATGTTTGTCTCTTTCTACGTAACGCCTCAACTTTCCGTGTTACACTTGATTTTACTCCCCATAAAATTTCCGTACCGGGCCTTATAACTCAAATTGTTTCTTAAAGAGTAAACTCCAAAAAGTTGGAAGTATCACGTGAAGACTAAAAAAGATAATGCTTACGTTTCGCAACGTATAGATCAAGGTCGATGCTTTCTGGGTTCATGTACAGCTCTGATTTCATCTTGCAGATCCCTAGGACACACTGCTCTTCGGTATCATACAAACACTTGTCGTCATTATCGCATGTTCTATCTGGCAATTCTTGACATTTATCAGTCAAAAAGTTCCTTCTGTAACCAGATTTGCATACGTAACGATTCTCAAAACAAACAGTGTTGTTCATGTCGCGACAATCGCGATCAGTCCAACAATCTGACTCCCAACCTGAAATGTTGACCTTGTTAGATCATCATTATCAAAACTAATTGATCTGTTTCCTGACATACCTTCAGTAGTGTACTTGTCAGCATCATCAGAGCTGAAGAATTCATTAAAGTATCGGCAGGTATTCAGATAGTACCTGATGGTTCCATGCGAGCATTGATAATGCTTGGAACAAGTCGACTTGGTCATTTCCTGGCACTCATTATTTTGGAGTTGGAACCCTTTGGAGCAGACACACTTACCTTGGAAGCAATGGAGGTTTGGCATGTTTCCGCAATCTGAGTCGGAGGTGCAATTTTTAAGAGAACCTGGTGATGCAATTCCAAAGATGGTTAGATGATGATTAATCAGCTGATGATTATGAATACTTACTTTCGAAAGCTAAAACAGTAGCTTCGTAATCGCGTTCGATCATGAACATTCTGGGGTAGAAACATCTTTCAACTTTTTGATAAGTACCGTCTTTGCATGTACACTTGCCACCTTGGCAGCGAGTGTTACTCAATTCACTACAGTGACGGTCCGTTTGACAGGCATCACCAATATCTAGAGGAAGATTATGATTGCAATACATTGTCTCCTTTAGCAGCAGGACTATCAAGAGGCTTTAGATTGGATTAATAAAATCTTACGGTTAGCAGTGTAAGCGGAGATGTTTTCGGCATTAGATGCCACGAAAAACTCCTCTGGTAGCATGCAGTAGTCTCCAAAACAGTTTACTTTATTGGTCTAGCATCTTTTGCGGTACCGACAAAAACGTCTGTCCAACGGTTCACAGCTTGCTAAAAAACTAATCCCGTAGCCGTCAATACAGTCGCATTTTCCTGCGACGCAAATGCTGTTGTTCAGGTTGCTGCAGTGCTCGTTAGTCTTGCACCGTGATCCCAATGCTAAATTAGATTCGTTAAAAAATTACAATGCTGACTTATCGAATGTGTGGATAAACTTACCAGTAGCTCGGTAAAGCTTCGTCACTTCAGCATCTGACTCAAGGAATTTTGTGAAATTTTGGCAGGTGTTAAAGATACAGGAGACCTGGTCCAAATTTAAGCAGTCATCGTCGGATTCACAGATCGCGCTTATTATCCCCTTACAGATTGATTCACCCCAGGGTCTCGAAGGCCTGTAATTAGTCAGACATTTGCACTTACCTCGAAAACACTCAGAGTTTCTGACATTCTCGCAGCCACGCTGACGATCACAATAACCCCCAACACCATCTGATAAATATATTGTTATTTTAATCGGTAATATTACTTTGGCGATGATTACATACTTGTAACCCCAAATAAACGATCGGGATAATTAAACTTGGCTCCGAGGATTGAAGCCACCAACAGCAAGCCAAATGCTATCACTAGGATTTTCATTTTTTCTAAATTATTCAGACATATGGTTATCAGCATATTTTAACGTTATCTAATCTCGAAAAAGCAAATTTACTGCGTGTTCAACAGTCTAATAGGCAGTATGCAGTTTTAAGAAAAGCTTTAAGACTTACAGTTGAAGATGAGAGTGAAGTCGCACCAAAAGATATTAGTTATGTGCATTCAGTGTATGCGCCTCTAAGTATACGATTAACAGAACGTTTAATCCAACCGGGTGGATGGCAAGGTTTAAATGATATTTTAGGTTTATTACCTGGTCCATCGATAAATAATGATTCACAAGGGAAAATACCTAATCTCAGACGTATGTATGAAATTACGTACTATGAAAAATCACATTTATATTTTTAAGCATATTGATTATTTTATCATCAATTTTAGGGCAATCGATCACAAGTGAAGATTCTAATTCAGAACCATCCCGACTCGTTTTGGTATTCTTCATTGGTGGTTGCACTTACGCTGAAATATCAGCATTAAGATTTTTATCTCAACAAGAAGATCGTGAGTACAAGGATTTTCATTATTAATTAACTTATTCTTAATTAATTAAAAATATTAAAAAATAAATAATGTTTTAGTTAACGTTGAATTTATTGTTGGAACCACGAAACTAATCAATGGAGATAGTTTTCTTATGTCTCTAACTGATAATCAACAAAAGCCAAAAAAATAAACAATTGGAGGAGAAAAAAAAGTATTCGTAATATTTGTAACATTATACAATTGCTATGCTAGTAAGTCTTGAAAGCAAAGCTTTACAATAGTATGATTGCTTTTTTTTTTAGTATATATATAAATTACGAATTGCCGAATTACAGTGAAAAATTAAGGAATTATTGTATAAATATAAATACTTTTATAAAGTTGTAAATATTATAATTTAATGCATTTAACAACACCGAATTTTAAGTGTTTAAAATATTTTTTCTCAGATCATTTTTTGTAACAATAATGCTTTATATACTTAAATCAGGCTAATGACTTCTAATTAAATTTTTATTAAGACTCGAGAAAATTTTTTATATAATTACAGAAAATTATTTACAATTGACTATATAACTTTACATAAAATTGTATATCAGACCTGAGAATATAATTTGAAATAATATTGTACTTGTATATCTAATCTATATATATATATAGGAGACTTTCTATAGATATAGATAGATAGTCATCACGATATCTCTGGAACTATAAGACCTAGAGACTTGAAATTTGGCAGGGATATTACTTTTACCATGTAGAGGTCAGCTAAGAACGGATTTTAGGAAATTCCTCCCCAAAGGGGTTTGCGGGGGGCGTTAACAATGAAAAATTCCCATTTTTAAACTATACCTTCTATCGACTCCAAATTTGGTAGGAATCTTTTGTAAGAGATGTAGAAATAATCTATGAACGAATTTTACGATATCTCACCCCCATAAGGGGTTGCGGGGGTGGGTATTAATAATGAAAATTTTTAATTTTCAAGCTATAGCTCCTATACAGATTCGGAATTTTATATGAAATTTCTGTACGTGATGTAAAAATAATTTATAAACGAATTTTACGATATCCTACCCCAAAGAGGATTGCGGGGGCGTTAATAATAAATAATTCCCGTTTTCAAACTATAGCTCCAATAGACTTCAAATTCGGTAGGAATTTTCTGTAAGAGATGTAGAAATAATATAGGAACGAATTTTACGATAGCTCACCTTACAGGGTTTTACGGGGATGGGTATTAACAATTAAAATTTTTTAATTTCCAAGCTATAACTCCTATAGACTTCAAATTTAGTAGGAATATTCTATGTGTGATATAGAAATGATCTAAAAACGGATTTTACAACGAATCACCTCCAATAAGGATCGCGGGAGTGGGTGTTGACGATAAAAAATGTTCATTTCCAAAATATAGCTTCTGAAAACTCGAAATTTGGTAGAAATCTTTTATTTCTCCTGTAAAGATCATCTCAAAATGAATTTCAATAAAGTTTACTTCCGATAGAAATTGCGGGGGTGGGTGTTAAAATCTAAAATGTTAATTTCCAAACTGTAACTTCGACAGACTTAAAATTTGGTGGGAATCTTCGTGTATGTCAAGTTCAGCTAAGAATGAATTTTATCAAATTCCAACCCCAAAAGGGACTGCGGAGGCGTTAACAATGAAAATCTCTCTTTTCAAAACAATAGTTTCCATGGGCTCGAAGTTTTGTTGGAATATTTTATTTATAATGTAAAAATCATCTCGAATAGGATCTTACGAAATTTCTCTCTCACATAGGAGTGCGGGAGTGATAGTTGTCAAAAAATTCATATTCTTCAAATATATTTTCTACAAATATAAAATTTCATAGAATCTCAAGAGAAACAGGTAATTACAGGGATGGCCTCCTGTAATTAAATTCAACGAAATTATTAATTTTTAGTTAATTTTAATTCATTTCAATTTGTTGGAATCAATTTTAATGAATTTTTAATTAATTTACAAACATGTATGGAATTCACTCACATTCCATGCTCACATTCCATGCTTGTAAAGGTGGATCCTAGGATCTCCGCCGTCCATCTTATGGCATAAAATAAATATTATTATTTTTAACGAAATTATTAATTTTTAGTTAATTTTAATTCATTTCAATTTGTTGGAATCAATTTTAATGAATTTTTAATTAATTTACAAACATGTATGGAATTCACTCACATTCCATGCTCACATTCCATGCTTGTAAAGGTGGATCCTAGGATCTCCGCCGTCCATCTTATGGCATAAAATAAATATTATTATTTTTAACGAAATTATTAATTTTTAGTTAATTTTAATTCATTTCAATTTGTTGGAATCAATTTTAATGAATTTTTAATTAATTTACAAACATGTATGGAATTCACTCACATTCCATGCTTGTAAAGGTGGACCCTAGGATCTCCGCCGTCCATCTTACGGCATAAAATAAATATTATTATTTTTAACGAAATTATTAATTTTTAGTTAATTTTAATTCATTTCAATTTGTTGGAATCAATTTTTAATGAATTTTAATTAATTTACAAACATGTATGGAATTCACTCACATTCCATGCTTGTAAAGGTGGACCCTAGGATCTCCGCCGTCCATCTTACGGCATAAAATAAATATTATTATTTTTAACGAAATTATTAATTTTAGTTAATTTTAATTCATTTTAATTCATTGTAATCAATTTTAATGAATTTTAATTAATTTACAAACAGGTAGCTTATAGTTATAGTTAAGGGAAAGATAGGCCTCCAAGGTCAACGGATTAAAATATTTTCCTTTTTTATTGATAATTATATTTTCTTACAACATTCTAAAATTCAACTTTACATGTAGCTATATAGTCAACGGACTGAGTATTTTGCATACATTTTATTATTGCTGATCACATAACCGATGAATTGTTCTTATTACGGGATCGCGGGAATGTAACAGATTAAAATGAATAGATTTTCTAAACACTTGAGATGGGGAAAAGAAATTTGGCTACTCATTTTAAGAGATTTCGTAAAATCAAATCTTGAAATCGTAAATCCAAAATTATTATTTATTTTTGGAGAAAGCCACGGGAATGTTAACATTATAGTGATTGCACATTAAAAGTTACAATGGATATTCGCTAGAATGATGACATGGATAATAGGTACAGGCCAATCCGATAGAATTTGGAATCTGTGCAAGTCAAAACAATACTTCAATTGAATTTCAAGTCTAGATCTCAAAATTCAATTCTATAGTGCCCAGCGGAGCGGGCGGGTAACAGCTAGTATATCTTATAAACCCAACAATTCTTTGTTCCAAAAATGCGACATCCAATTAACGCTGATGAACGCTTAGGAATTCTCAATTGTGAAGCAGGCATTCCTATTAGTGATTAATTACTTTGTTTTTTTCTCCACTAAGTATCATTAAAGCTTGCGGAATGTTTCATATCACAAATCGAGTAACTAATGTGTCAATTATAAATACTTAATGGATATTATTCGAAGATTGGTGAGTAAATAAGGAAACAATAATCTGAGAATAATATTCGCGGGGCGCGTCTAATGATGACTGACACTGATTATAAATAGTATGATACAACAACAATGTAAGATTCTGGGTCTATTTAATGTTATCTCAACATTATCCGAGGCACAACTTTTTACCACGGTGTCTTTCTTATTCTGATAAATTTACTAATCACCATATATTCTCATTTCATTCAACGCGCCCGTGTCTTACCTTTATACACTGTACCATCACTTCCAATAACCCTTTTTTTACCTCAATTACATTCATCTCTCTAATGATAAAAATCCGTGAAAAAATTTTATGACATTAAAATTGGTTATATCAAGCCTAATATGATTAAAAAAAAAATCAAATTACAATAAAAGGTCACTCACTCGAATATTTCAAGCAAAACTTTTTTAATAGATGATCAGAGACGCTTAGATCTCTTTCCGTTTCGATATCAAAGTAACTGATGCAAAGCTCTAAAGTTTACCCTTTGCCTTTATACTTTTCTGGCTTCCTACCTAGAAACCAGAGCGACTATCATGAAAATAAAGTCAGCCGACATTTCAAAACTTTTAGAAATTTTTTATTGAAAAAATTTCAATTAAAAAATTTAAAAAAAAAATTTCACATGTAAAAAACTTGAAAAGCTATAAGTGCAATTTTTAAAAAATATCTTTTTAGCTGTAATTTAATTAATTAAAAAAAATCAAAAATTTTTAGGCGTCTGCTAACTTTAGTGTCATGGGATTATCTGTGTTGATATGTTCCCATCTGGAAGTCTCTGGAGAAACGACTGGGTTAAGAATACTTTTAGTAACAAAATTCTGCTCTATCAATTTTATTAATCATATAACATAACATATTTATAACTAAACTGTAACACATATTTCCACTACCAGCTCCAATTTGGCCTGCAAATCCAATTCATGCAGAACAAGTAGAATGTGCAGACGTACAAATGATGGACTCTTTGGCAGTCATAGTTGTTATTGCACTGAATAATTAAACAATAATGATGGTAACATTTAGAAGTAAAAAAAAAGAAATTTGTATACTTATCCGTTGTTCGCTGCAGTAGTACTTGCGACGTTTCTTGCCGTCTGACTGCGCAGACGATAGTGATGATGATGGTGACGCATAGACAAGAGCGTTGAATTGAATCTGGTGTAAATCCCAGGAGTTTTAATACGGAGATGAAGATGGTGATGATGATGGAGCATTGCTTATAGTTGACAAGACGTGATTTCGAAGCGACATTAGCATGCCGGGTGAAGCTCCAGGAATTGTACTATGCGTGTCACATCGTATACAACAACCAAAAAAAAGTTCCGAATTTTTCAAAAAAAACCGCTTTTTTATTTTTAAATTGCCATAACTTTTTCAAAAATTGGCTTATCGGGACGTTTTTTTTTT